TTCTTCTACTCTCTGTGTTTCCTCTCCTCTAGGGTTTAAGTTTGATGTCCGCCTCTATGTGCTGATCACCTCATACGATCCTCTGCTCATATATCTGTATGAAGAAGGACTTACTAGGTAACCTGTCCCCACACACAGAAATCTGCCCGCTCTTTCCTCTCTCACACAGCACAGCAGCATCTAAGTCTGTTGATGGAACCTACAAATAGTTCAGAGGACCTCGATACTTCTCAGCAGCACAGCTTAGGAGAGTGGCAGCAGGACACAGGTCTGGGGTACACACCCTGCCCACCTGGGTACAGGTCTGGGGTACACACTCTGCCCACCTGGGTACAGGTCTGGGGTACACGCTCTGCCCACCTGGGTACAGGTCTGGGGTACACACTCTGCCCACCTGGGTACAGGTCTGGGGTACACACTCTGCCCACCTGGGTACAGGTCTGGGGTACACACTCTGCCCACCTGGGTACAGGTCTGGGGTACAGAATGGCCCGCGCAGCTATATTCATTTTTTACAAAGTTTCCATTTTCATCCCTGGGGCCGGCCCTTGTGTCACTGAGTGATTGGAAGGAATGTCTGGAGTCTTGTTGGTCAGTTGCGGTGGCGTGTTGCAAGCAAACTTGTGTCTGTCATGGGACTGATGTGGGTACACATGTGCAGGGAATGATCATACATGAGGGGAGCATGTAGAAGACGTCATCTCTTCAGACCTGACACTGCAATGCCACAGGTGGGCGCAGAGCATTTCTGCCTCAGCACAGGAGGAGGGGTGTGAAAGGGTCAAAGGAAACCCCCCCCCGCCCCCCGCATACTCGCGGTCCTGGCATGTAGACACTCCGAGCCTGCTTCTCACTGCAGCCAGTGGTCTTCCAGCCCCCCTTGTAACCCTTCTGCATGAAGGTGGGCCGCACTTCTTCAGGTCAGAGGCTTTGTTCATCCAGCTGTGGTCCTAGGGCGGGGTATCTCCCCAGCGTTTGGATGCTCAGGTCCCCCCCATAGCTTTCAGGCTAAATCCCTAAAATCAATCTCTTGTTCAGCTGTTGCCCATCAATCTTCTGATAGGGCTGTTCCCTGGACCATATCTGTCCAGTTCTGTTGGAGTTCCCCGCAGTATGGGACCTCTGGTTCCTCCCTTGGCAGAAACTTACCTTCAAGGGTGGACACCTCCTTAAACCAGCACCTCTCCTTAAAGGGGTTGGTCCCTTTGTGGAAATCTCCTGAGGGATCTCCTGACCTACCAGTTCAACAACAATCATCTCCAGCTGATGAGGTTCTGTGTCTCCGGCATCCCCAAGAAGTAGACTCTAAGTGGACCTTACGTCCAGCCTCATGCTTTGTACTGTGGAGCCCATTGTGGCCCTCACACAGGAGACCCTCCCTGATGCAGATCTGTTTGTGGACCTCACACCTGAAGGCCTCACTTGGAGATTGCCTCTCCTGGATTTTGCTTCTCCAATGGGCAAGGAGTGTAACTTTGGCCCTCACTGGAGAGGTCCCCTTCTGGCTGGGGGAGGGGTGTTGCCCTCCTGTGACTCTGGAAATACATTGTCTGTCTGGTGTCTCCACATTCAGGTTCACCAGAGCAGACTGTTCCCACCTTGCCAGGGGATGTGTCTGGAAGTTGTTGGATGTCTCCTGAGCACTATACTGCAGGACCATCTCCTCTTGGAAGGTCTGAGAACTCCCCCATGGACGGCGCTGGGTGTGTCCCCGTTGACCATTTCTGGTTCTCCCGGTAACAAAGCTTCGCCTTCCGGATATCCTTAGCTGGCGGCCTCTCCATCGAGGCGCGAGGACGGCCCGGTTCACACCTCGGAGTTTTATTAAATGCCCAACCCAAGAAATCCCGTGATTTCCATTGGCCCTGGTCCACACCTGAGCAGAAGAACGCCCAGAAAGGTACAGGAGCTTCTTTGGGCAGTTAAAAGTGCGTTTTTCGCCCCATAGACTTCATTGGAAATGCCCCAAAACGCGCGGCAGAAGCATGTTGCACATTTTCGTGAGCGGTTTTGCATATTTAAATGCGCGTTCTTCCTTTGCCTGCAATGTTTTATGAGCTGCCAGTCAAAACGTGCGTCTTCACTACCGCGCATCATAATGTGCACAACGCGCAAATAACCGCATGCTGCTGACGCGCGTACACATGGGCAAAAGCGGTGCCGCCTAGGTGTGACTCAGACCTGCGGGTTCAGCACCTGTGTGTGTTCCCCACTTCCTGTTTTGGCAGGAAGTGTCCATCACCGATGCTGCTCTGAAGTTGCTCAACAAGCACAAGACATGAAGATCCGCTGGAACTGCCCC